CACCAGCCGAGCCTCTGCGGGGAGCTGCGCAGCCTCTGTCCTCGGAGGGCTTCAACACCTGACTGGGTAAAGCCGTGAGCAACCCCATCTGACCTGCTCGAGGGAAATAAAAAGCCCTGATAGTGGGGCTGAGGGCACCCTTAAAATATCATGATGTTTTAAGCTACCTTGTTGTTTTTGAAAGGGAGTATAAGCTTTTAGAGCACCTGGGAATTCACTGAGTGGCATACACGGTTAAACTGCGTAAAACCCTGAAAGTAGCATGAGCAATTAAGCTACCTTAGCTGCTTAAAGCAATATAAGCTGTTAAAATACCTTTAATCCTTAAGGCAGTAAAGTGCTTAAATCACCTTAAATCTTGGGAGGAAGGAGGGAGAAAAAGCTGTCTAGTAAAAGCCCCAACCACGGGGCCCCAAAACTGAAGATGGGGCTGCTGAAATGAGTCGGAGTGAGTTGGCTTCTCTCTCTGGAGATCCCGCCGGACAGCCTGTGCTTTCCCGCTTTCCCAGCCTCTGGGAAGGAGGGCAGGAGCGGTGGAGAGTGAGTTCAAAGACTGGATGGCACAAGGCTGCCCCCCTCCCCCCAAAAAATCACAGTAAAAATTACTTGCTAGATGGTAGTGAAAATGAATAGACTGTGGGGAAAACGGCTTGAGTCCTTGGTGCTTGTGGTGAGTTAAGAGATAACACTGCTCTCTGAGGATCATTGGAGGGCGCATGGTCTGTGTCATCTACGTCAAAACCATGGTGCCGTTTCCTCTCTCTATCAAACCTTTGTATGAACTCAGATTTTCTCCACCTTTTTCTGGCCAGACCTGGAAGCTGATAAGCGAACAGGCGAAGATATATTGGCACAAGCCTATGTAGGCAAAACTTGCTTCAAAGCAGGCAGTAAAAAATACTATCAATTTGTTAATTTGCCTGTTGAATGTTTTTCCGAATCCACTGCTTGCTGCCTTAAGATCCTGTAGTTATCTGGCTGCATAATGTGTGCAGGGCTCTTTGCACCCTCCCCACTCTGTTGCTGTTAAGCACTGACGTGCTTTGCTGATTCGGAGAGCTTGAGGTAAAACCCGCAAAAATTCAAGGCTTCCCTGGAGTGAGCCCCATTCTTTTGTTACTGCTCTGCAGGGAAAATCACAACTTTTAGTTGCAGAAGCATAGAATAATTTTGGTTGGAGGGCATCTCAGGAGACCATCTATTCCAACCCCCACTCAAACTTCAGAGTTAAATCGGGTTGTGTGGAGCCTTGCCCAGTTGAATTGTTACTGGGATATGTGCATGCTCATGTGAGACATGGGAGGCCTTGGTTCAAAACTCTGCTGCAGCCTCCCTCCCCTCCCTGGAGGATGCCCAGAGCTTTTGGCCTTGGGCAGCCCACGGTTTGGTTTCCTACCTTGCAAGAGGGGAGAGCAGGATGGTTTAGCAGCCCTCCTCCACCGTGGTCTACAGGGGAACAGTTTCAGCAAAAAAGAGGCTCTTGTAGCCCAGTAGTTAGCTCAAAGCTATTTTAGAGAGGACTTCGATCTCTGTGTCCTCACAAGTGATCTCCTTGCCAGACTCTTGGATTTCCCCATCCTAGTGTTTATTTGATAGATGTATATGTCCCCTGGGAGATCCATTATGAAACAGCTAAACAGGTTTAGGAAAGCTGCCAAGCTGATGAGAAGTGGGGAGGTTATTGGGAAGCAGTGCCTGTATGGGTGCCCTGTTCTTGCTCTTTCCTAGGCCCCCAGCTGGGGCCATTGCTGGAGATGGGCATTGGGTGGACCCAGCCCAGCTCCTTCTGTGCTCCCATCTTGCTTTGCTGGTCACATGGGTGACAAGAGCAAGAAAATGGTCTTTTCCCCCTCTGACTGTGTGTAACTGGTGCTCAGTTGCTGTGTGCACGCCTGGTGGCAGGGACATAGATCCCTGAGAGCAGCAATTTCCAGATTGGGACGTGTGCCCGCTGAGGGGATCCGAGCCTTGACCAGGGCGAAGCGCTCGCATCCAAAGGGGCTGGGTGATGCCGTCCCTGCCGAACGGCACGGGGCTCCGGGCATCAGCTGCTGCCACTGGCTGGTGGTGGTGGCTGCCAGGCCAAGCAGAACAGGGAAATCCTGGCCTCAGGGGCTCTCTAAGCGTAAACACAGGCGTTGAGGAATGACCCTTTGGTTAGTAATATTGTAGAAGAATGAAATAATTCTTCTTCGCTCGTTCTGTTCAGTATATAAAATGGCAGTGGTGAGAACAAAACTGGCTTTCTCCCTATGGTGAAAAAATCTGATGAAAAGGTCTGCTTACCTTTAAAAAAACGGCTCCTAGCATCACATTATCACAAGTTTATTGTTACGTGAATGATACGATTGCATTTGTTAGGGAAAAAATGAGGTTTTCCAGATTTTGACAGGAAGCAACTCAGCAACAGGTCACTCCTGACTCAGTTTTGGTGGCTAATAGATGGAATTGAACATTTTTGAGATCTAGGACTGGGTTGCAGTCTTGTTTTCTGTTACCACAACATTTAAAAGCTCAGTTGTTAAAAAATGTAAGTGCTGTACATCTCTCTCTCTTTTTTTAAACCTATTCTGAAAGGAACCCTAAAATAATCTTTATCTTGTTTTGTTTTCCACTTAAAATGTTCCCTGGAAACAGCAGCAAACTCCTAGCATGAGTGATCACTTGTTTGCAGGGTGCTGAGCAATGTGCCTGCGTGCCACAGGGCACTGTGCAGAGGGGAGAATCCTACATGGAATATGAAGGAAAAACCTCTTGGTGGCGCTTGTGCACACCGTGTGGTTTTTTCTTTGCCCAAGGTTTTATCAGATATTGATTTTCAATACTCTGTATTTCTGCCCACCGTTTCTGTGTTTTTTTTTTTTCTCTAGGAGCATCATATTTTGGGACTCAAACTGTAGGCTACGTTTAATCAATGTTTGATGTCACGAAGGGTAAAGATCAAAGTAGGGATGATTACTTTCAAGTGGAAACAAAACCAAGTCACAACAAGTTTTGTTTTTTGTTTTTGTTGGTGGTCACTCACTCAGCTCAATAGCTTCCCTGCATTTAGTATCTTCAGGCAAGTCTTTCCAATTTGGGATGTTTTCCATAGGAACGTTATTAAATATTACTCCAAGCCTCTGTTTTTTAATGTAGCATTGTACTTTCCTCATTGTATATTAAATGATAAGTATAAATATTTGGATATTGTACTATCCGTACCCTACACACACACATATACACATGAATGTGTATAATAAAAATCTAGATTTATTTGCATGCTAGTGCTTTAGCAACTTATGATCCTTCAAATTTATCTGACATACATCTATATCTGGCTACGGTTTTTGTTATGGTGAGCATTTTTGCTCATGCAGAATGTCTGTTTATGATTACTGCTCCCTTTATTATCTATCAAATCTAAGTACTGGATGACAATTAAAAGATAGCAGAGACCATGCCCTAGAGGACTACAATCTCAGAGTACCTTCTGTTCCTCGTATATTTTATTTAAAATGTTATAATGTAATATGTATGTTATTTTTTCATCCTAGTGCTTTTTTTTTTTTTTTCCTTCTGGCTATTATTTGTAGTTTGGTAGTAGCTAGCACCTTGAGCAGAGCGTGAGGCCCCACAGTGTGAGCTGCGCAGAAGGAAGGAGGGCTTATGCCAAAGGGCTTGGGGTCTAGGTAGGGCAAGGATGATACAGAAGGGAAGAAAGGAAAATTGCTGCCTCCGCATAGGAAAGGAGGCACAGGGGTAGAATACCGGCTTCACTGGCCACACGGAGAGTTTTGCCATTGATTTCAGTCGTGAAGGATCTAGCTACAAATTCTAGTACCAAAACCAGGACTTAGGCAGACTTCAGACATCTGCGTCCAAGGC